GGTCAGAGGGCCAAAGTTAATGTGTGGGCCGCACCCAAACTTTGATGTTTCCAGTGTGCTTTCAAAAACCTCCAAGCACAGCATTTACACTACTTTATTCTCAGTTTCAACATTACTTTTTACACATGATCGGTATCCGGCCGTAAAAAAGAAGGTGTTTTCTAGCCAACGTTGCTGGTGGGCCGCACATATAGGGGTTTTTAATTTATTTTCACGGGCCGCAAAAAAATCACTGTCGGGCCACACTTTGCCCACCTGTGATCCATAGCTTATGACACATCCCATCATTCCTGCGACCGGATTTACTCTTACAACTTAGAGGAGAGATGATAGCAAAGTATCTATTCAGGCAGTAGCATAGAAACCATATAAATGTCCTTGTTTTACAAACCCTATAAACCCATTTTAGAATCAATCTTGTTTTAGTGTGAGAAAATTTGTAATTCACATGATACTAAAAGAAGAGATCTTTAACCAGCTGATTGGATACTGTAAAACATGAAAAAAAAATAAAAATAAAAATTATTGTATCATATACTGTATGCTTCTCATTTCTTGATTGCTTTCTTAAATCTCGTGTAAGGGTAAACCAGAATCAGGACAATGAACTTGCCATTAACTACTGTGATAGTGAATTTACAGTATATGATTGGAGGGTTCTCAGAAATCGGATTTTTCAAATTAGAATCTGTCCACATATTGACCATATAAAATGGCTATGAATTCCCAAGTGATCTGAATCGCATAGTCCCGAATGCCCGAAACCTAAATCAATTTCTGTGATGCGCTCTTAATCGAATAATCATTTAGAAGCATTTATGGAATACAAATAATGGAGATAATTTTCTAATGTTTTTAGAAAAATGTACGTAGAAGATGGTGGAATCTCCAAAATTATATGTTTATAGTCCATAAGGTACTACAGTATTATTTCATTGTTAACACTTGATAATGCTTCGTTTCTAAGCAATTACTATAGTACAGTACCTGTCAAACAGTCACTATGGTTGACTGCATTTACAGCAAACCCACAGTTTCCATGGCTGTTTTTTAACTCAATACAATGTTGTAAAAAAAAAGTTGATAAAGCTATTTAAACTATGGCTTAGAATAATGTGGGCAGCCACTGTATCGACCACTTTGCCAGCATTGCTCAGTAACGAAGGGGTGTCACATGGTGACATCGTGACATAATTCCAAATAGAAACAGATTACCAGCCAATTATCTATGCAACATGAAATGCGAATGTTACTATTATTATTTGATAGAAATAGAGATAATTTTGTTTGTTTTCTTTATTATAATGATTCTAATAAATACCTGGTTTTATACTAAATAATTTTTGAGTCTGACCTAATTGAAATGAAATTAGAATCAGGTTTGTTGAACTATTACTTGGATTTACAGATGCATACAAATTCCTTGTTGTTGGTAAACCACAAGAACCTAGTACTGTATCCTTAATGACAGTTCATTATGTTTAAAAATATATATTTGGTAATTTTCTAAGATATCAGGATGCATGGAAATTTATTTAACCATGGAGGAATTCCTCAATGGTTTAACTTACAAGGAAATAATATGGAAGGGTTTGCTTTGGCTTTTTGCCAGTCATAAGTCTGTAAATGCCATGTACCAAAAATTTTTCCAAAATTATTTTTGTTTTTACACAACTGTAATACAGTAATTGGTTTAGATTCTAGGATGTATGGAAATTCTTAAATGTGTACTGAAAAGGGGCTACTGAAAAATCCAAAATAAGTAATAGCCACAGGGAAAAGTGTATCTAACAAGATCGTAAATTAATATTATAATGTAAATAAAGTAACTGCATAAAAAGATGAGTAGGCCTACTGTACAGGAAACCAATAAAATACAAATCACGGATAGATGAAAAATTTAGTTGTTATCAGTCTATATTCCAATATGTCAATCAAGTTATGTTTCTGTGGTGATGTTTTTCTAAGGCCGCATCAAATTTCAGTTCAAATATTAGTTTACATACAACAACCTCCTGTTCATTATTTGTTTGTTCATTGCTTCATTTTTTTTTATTGACAATCATCTCCATGCGACCTTTTTTTATATTTGAATTGTGCTGATGGTATGACTGCTGAATTAATGTAAATGTTAATGTTTTCTTAATAAAAACAAGTTTTGTAATCTTCTTATATATCCTGTGTTGTGCCAGGGGATTTCTCCTAAATTAATGACATTTTCATGTTCTTATTAGGTGAGATTTTTACTTCGATTTGCGAGCCTACCACCAATAATTCTTGTGCTATCATTTTGGTCTACTTTAAAGAAATTTACATCTATTTTAAATTAAATTTTTGGTGTGTTAAGACATTTACTGTACATTCCTCTTACACTCTGTCAAAGTTTGTTAAAAGTAACTTGCTATATTCTATCCTAGATTCAAAATCCTATCTTTTTTAATACTTCTTGAGTCTTGCAAAAAGTCTCAACTCATTAATAAAGGCCTGACCTCAGTAAAGTACTACCTTGGGGATGAAGGCTGAGTATGCTTTCTATTATACTGCAGTTGTTAATGATCCCAATATGATGATGTGTGTTTTTTTTTTCATTTTTGGGAAAGCAGTTTAATTGTTACCATATTTGGGAGTTTATGTAGAAAAAAAGATGCTGAAGAAATGTACTGTATTGAATTTGCAAGATATAAAGTCTAATTTTTATGTTATATTAAGGCAAGTACTGTTTAATTCATAGAATAATTACTATGCATTGAATCAGCCAATGGTTGGCTGTGTAAAATAAGTAGACAGCTTGTTGTACTGAAGCGATGATAGCCTATGTGTGCGACCTAGTCTAAATGCTAGGCTATTAACATTTACTGTCATCCAGAAAAGGACTGACCAGGAAAATATTGCCCCATGCTGCTTTACTTTGGGCTGATTGTAGGCTTAGCCCACTGATGGTAAAAATCATAGGTCAAATGTTTAGCTTGCTGTGGTATAGAGTACAACATGGATGGATGATTCTGTCAGAGATACGCAACCTGGGAAGATTCTCCATCTTGTCACTTTATCTATGACAAGGATCCTACTGTGTTAAGTACTTTTTATATCCAAGACTATCCTCTTGTTGTGTGGATATAGTTTTACAATTTTTTGTCGGTACTTAGATTGAGACATTTTTAACATCCATGTTTATTGAGATCTAGCTTGTTAAACATCGGTTAAAATGCGCAACGGAGTATACAAATTGCTGTATCTTATGATCGCGATGCAATACCGATGCTAGCGAATGTAATTATTGTCTTTCTACCTGCCTGTACCATCAACTGATAATACACCTGTGATATTCATTCTCAGTCTGGTGAAATCTGCAGCTAGCTGCTGTTTTCAGTCTTGGCCTTTCTCTGGCGTAAGGTAAACATTTCAACATGGTTTCTACATGTTTTTGTACATCAGTGAGTTTCCATATTTCATTTGATAGATTTATTGACATTTGTCATAATTCTGTCAGTGTTTATTGTGTCACTTCATTTTTTTTTTTTTTTTAATGTTCAGTAAGTTTATTAACATGGATGAAATTTTATTTATTTTATGTGGATTTTATACCAAAATGATTATTCTAGGGCAATATGTGCATGGTATGGTAAATAAATTGTTTTGAATGACACTTTGCTTTTACAGTACATTTTAAAAATGTGATTAATTTATGCAATCATTATTTTCTGATATTCATATTTTCAAGATTGAATATTGAAATATTTTGTTCAAGTGATATGCATGAACTAACAATGTTTGAATTTTTTAACTTATAAAAATTGTAAAAATTTAAAAAATCTTTTTAATTCTTGTTTTTCATTATTTTTTTTAACAGGTTGGCGGTTTAGAGAGAATTCATTTTAGTGTCGGGCTTTAGCCCATTATTCTCTCTTGGCATGCCTCTAACCTGTTTTATTTTGTTTTTGTTTTTGTTTGTTTTTTTGTACTTCATTTTTATGTGTTATTTGTTTATGAACATGGCGAACTTTTAATAAATAAACAAATAAATAAAAATGTTAATGCTATATTTGCTTTAATGTACAGTACTACATTGTAAAGTACAGTACAGTATTATTTTTGTACAGGGATACATTGATTACTTATTAAAATTGTACAGAAAATTGATTGAAATATAAGTGCACTGAAATGTGACCCTCCTGTATGTAATTGGTGGTATAGTGAGACATGATTAATTAAAAATTTGTGTCGATTTGACCCATATATTTTCAAAATGCATACAAATTTATAGACCTAAAGTTTGTTTATTTTGATTGTTAATACAAAGTATATATTTATTTACAAAGTTGAATGAAATCAGTGGCTGATTCTGGGGGGGGGGGGTGGTAAAGGCAATTGGCCTGGTCCACCCTAAATTTTTCAGAATAAAAAAACAATGAAGGAAAAAAGAAAATTATATTCAAATTTAAGTGAGAGTGCCATTTCCGGGCATCTTGAGGTGCCATAATCATAAATTATTTTAAAACAGCCTCAACAATCATAGGGCTGTGGTGGTAGTGACACTCTATCTGTGAAAGTATCTTTCCGTGGGCCCCTCCCTTTTAGAATTTCTGGATCCGCCACTGGAAATTAACTGTATAATATTCTTGAAGAAACTTCTAATTATCATAAGTACAGTATAACCTGTTTAGATTACAGTTTTCAATTTGCTGTTTTGATATGTTGTATAGAAAAATCCATTTACAGCCTTCATGACAAACATTGCTTACGGTATTTTTAAATGAGCTTTTGATAACCAGGAAGAAAAAAAAAATGTTTATTAATAGCAATATTATTTTTCTGTTGTCTGACTCCTTACAAGGCCAATGAAAATATTTTTTTAGAAATCAAAACTAGAACCTGAACCAAAATAAATAATTATACTTTCAAAAAGGAAAAAGGAACTTTATACAGTACCGTATATAAATTTTCCTTTTTTCCCCCCATCAACTGATCTAATAGTACTATTTACATTTTCTCCATTACAGGACCTGCAATATGTCTATAAATTTCTTCACACACTAGAAGCTTTACAGACCCTGCGGGAACCTGCACTGCGCTCTCTTTGTCGTACAGTGCACTACGAGAAACATGAACCAAATGAGTTGTTGTATCGGTAAGTAGATCATTTATATTAATAATAATAATAATATTTGGATTTAAATAGCGCTTTACACCAGTCTCAAAGCACTCAAATCTTGTACAGTAACTTCCTTTGCCCCTAAGGGTGTCTTTTTGTCTGAGCTACCCAGTAAAGCATTGCTATCTACCCTCACTCATTTGTCCAGAACTAATGCATTGTTCTGTTTTTGATATTCCAAAAGAAATCCATCTTTTCAGGATTCTCATGAAACTACTAAACTTAATACTCTTTTCTGTGACCCCTCCCTCCTCTAAAAAGAGTATTAATATAATGATGATCGGATGTGGTCAATTTGTGATCTTCATTTTTTTATTTTCACAAAATAGTACACTGTTGACACCCATCTCCAATGTATGTTTTGTATTCTTATATGTAAAAATTTTATATTAGTGGAAATGTAGTTTTGATGTTAGCCAAGTTTCAATGCTATGAAACTCTAGGATAGTAACTACATTCCCAGCCTGTTTTAGCTACTGACAGTTCCAAAATGATAAACTCACAATATTGATTACCATGACCAATTAGAAAGGAAGTGTACTTAAAGCCTTTTTTTCCCCTACTTTTTCTTTTTGTGCTTTTTAATTATGCAATGAGCTGTCCATTTTGTTAGAATTTCAACTACATAGGCTTATATTAATTTATAGACAAATTTTTGAACACAAATTTTAAGGGTATGCTACTGTACACACTACGCAAATTATAAATATTGTGTCCTAATTTTTCGCTAAATTTTCACAATGTGCTTCTCATAGTACAGTAAAAAAAACCTTACACATTGCTAAAAACTGTCCTAGCCTTTTCCTAGGCTTGGTTTATCATGGTTTTTAAAATGATCAGTTCCAACTGGATTGTTCACCGCCGTTAAGCATGCTAGAAGCGCATTACAAATTGAACTTGCACATACAGTCGACTCTGTATTCATGTAAATTATGCGTATGTACTCATGTAATTTGATGAAAGCCAAAAATCCATGTGTCTTGCAGTTAACTTCTCGTAACAAGCAATTTATAGAACCATACAATTGCTTTGATTTTGCAAGTTAACTGAATACTTCAACAGCCATCTAATTTTTGAAAAATATCAGAATCAAATATCCAATGTACTTGTAATTGAATCTCTCTGTGACCAGGCAGTAGTCTCCAAATGTATATTCGGAGTTAGAATGAGTTAGAACTACTGTCTATATTCTGTAGAGTTCTACAAATTTTTAAAATATACTGGCAACAATTATACAATAAATTGTGTTGCTTATTAGAAAGCTACATATAAAATAATCTACCAAGAATGCAAACAGTAAACATAGGCTGATTGTTTACAGTTTTGTAGTTTTATACTTGACTTCTCAATTCAGTAACTGTCAGTACTTTACCATCAATCAGTATGTTGACAAAGTGATGAGTGATGAGTCACAGCTCCTCATTACAAAATGTAATTATAGACAAAATTTTTTTTTGTAAACCACTTTATTTCCTGAAGCTTTGTGAGAGTAGAAAAACCTGAAGTTTTATCTATTCTGTTGTAATTGTCAGACGTAAAACTGTACAGTTGATGTGAAAGAATTTTAATCTAATATAAACAGTATATTTTCTTTTTATATTAATAGACCTATACTTAGTATAATTTCAGTTTAATTTTAGTTTAATTTTCTTTCGCCAAATGGCGAAATGTTTTAAATTTTTTTCGCCAAATTGAAAATGGTTTAGCCAAATTTAAAAACCAGTAAAATATCACAAAAATGGTTCCGTAAAAGAATTTCTTGCTTATTTATATCTTATTCATTTGTAACCAGTTGTAAAGTGGTAATAATAATACTAATGATTGAACAAATGAAACAAAAACGATCGTTTATGATATGTGGGACCGACGGCTACCGGACCTGCTCCAGGCCTAGTTTTCGCCTAGGCCTTAGCTAGGCCCTAATTCAAATTGGGAGTAGAGTACCTTACTTTTTGGCATCACAAGCGACTGCTATTTCAAGTACTGTTTCGTACAGTAGGCCCTACAGTACCTGTTGTTTTGCTCTACAGCATATCAAATGTTACAGTATCAATAAAATTGATGCTTTTATATTGTTTGACATGTATTTTTGGTCTTGTGTACTCGTTTCTAAACACAACACATTTTCGTCTTGTGTACTCTTTTCTAAACACAACACATTTTCGTCATCACGATGACCTTACCTGGGGGCAGAGACCGCGCCACCGAAACCCTACCCGCCAATTAGGTTAATTTTTTTTCAGGCGGTGGTGATGTGCAAACACATGCTTTGATTGGCAAGTTTCATAGTGCGTAAAACATCCTGAGCAAGCTCAGTGTAAGATTTAATTAAACAGACATATTTAAACAAATTTTATAGAAATCTAACAAATTTAATTTTCATTCTCTCCAAATATCCTCTGTAATAACGAAATCGCCAAAAATGAAATGCCGTTTAGCGTTCTCTCTTAGCGTGGGAACGATAGTTTTAGCATGTCATGTGCAGGCAATGATTAGAATGTTTGCTTCCAAATTGCCCATGTGTGTCCATATGCCTGCCCAGAAAGATTTATCTATCTGGGATTTTCCACATGAACTTGAAAGTGTCTGCAAGTACTAAACATGCGGTGGAAATAGGGTCGCTTAGTGAGGTGGTATCTCCGCTGCTCGAGATAACTTAAGAAGAGCTGAGCCTAGCCTAGACGAAGAATAAGTTTGTTTACAGTATATAAAAATTTGCTTTCGCCATTTTGGCGATCGATGCAAATTTTTTCTTTGCCAAATGGTATCTTAATTCTCCGTTGGTGAATTGACGAATGGCTAGCTTGAGCATAGCTACTGCAAAAGTGAACTTAAGGCCACGCCCGACTGACCCAAAGTGTTCGAAATTGAGGGTTGGCGTTTTAGTTTTTTTTTTTTTTTGACTACAATGAAAAATATTTTTTTATTGAGCTAAAAAGACTAGAATGGGTCTATCTTGCAACAGTAGATAATGCGACAGTGTTATGCAGTCGTTTGCTCTTTAATATAGATTTAGAAAGTGGTCTTTCTTGTATTTTTGTGTATTTTCTGCTTTTTAGGCATAAACAAATTATTGGTAAAAAAAAAACCCTTTCCTACCTACCTACCCATTTTTTGGATTTTCCCATTTAAAATGGCCAGTCACAAGAAATTTTTTTTGGCATAACCTGAAATGAACACATTTAAATGACCTTGAATAAGTAATAGATCAAATCAACAAGGTTGTCAACATTTTTATTTAATTATGTGTATAGCAGTACTTTTTTTTTTTTTTAACTTCCTGTCTTTATGTACCATTAATGCATATTTTTCAAATAAAATAAATGTTCCCGGATGTTAAAAAACGAAAGCAATTAAAAAAAAAAAAACCCCAAAAAAATATTCAGATTATGTTGTATTTTGGTTTCTTGTTTATAGACATGATGATTTGAGTCATTGTTGGTACATCCTACTGTCTGGTTCTGTTTTCATCGACAGTGCTATGTTCTTAGCCCGAAGCAGGTGAGTTTCTGTTCATATGTCATTATTGAATGTGTCAAAGTGCTTCCTTTTATTGTCGGGTGTAAAGCCAGACACGCACTACGTTGGCCAATGCGCGACAAGGTGCTCACGATAAGTCGTTTTTAGCAATGCTTTGTACAGACTGCCAACAAAACCCAGCAGACGACGTCACATCTTCAAGCACTAACACAGAGAATGCAGTGTGGGCCTAGATGACGTCGCATCTTCAAGCACTAACACAAAGAATGCAGTGTGGGCCTGGATTAAAGCCCTGTGCAGACTATCAAATTTTATTCGACAAAAACATGTGACATGCCTAAATATGGTCATGATGACATCATGACTATATATGGGTATACAACAGTTTTTTGTCAGAGACAATTTGATAATCTGTACAGAACTTTAAGCATAGTTAGCATAAAAAGGCTTTAGAATTCTATCCAATTCTTTTCAGAGTGTTTACTGAAATTAAGTAAAAGTCAAAATGTTCAAAGTTCCCGATGTTCAATATAAAGATCCTAAAGAATTCCGTTTCCCGGTTGGCTATGATGTAATACCCGCAGCCTTGTATATCCAGGCATATCTGCTTTCACATTAATTTGAATGTACTGTACATGCACTACTGTATGTAGAGATCATGTACTTTGACACTGCAAAATTTGAATATCAAGAACATTAATGGCCCATTTATTGACCTATATTGTACTATTGATCATATTGCACTATAGATCATATGAGTGACAGTAAATGAACAGTTAATTGCTAAGTAGTTCTTTCAGTTTTATCCATGCAGTATAATTTTCTTTATAGTTTTGGAAAACGAACTTCGGGTTCTGGACGAAGAGGCTCTGAATGTTTGATATTAGAGACATCCGAGTTATTAGTAGTAAGTCATAAGAATTATTATATTTTGTTATGATGTAATGTAATGCATTAATTTAAATAATGAAGGCAACGTAAATTATAGAGTTTTCTTTTATAATTATATTTCAATACTGCTTTAATAAATGCTACCGTTACCAATACAGTACATTTTTTAAGGTAAGGTGTTCAGTTCAACTTCATTTAACCACGGAGGCCCAGATCAACACAGGGTTGCTCTTCCCAGGGTGCTGTGAACATAATACAATGCCAAATTTATACATGACAAATGTTCGATATAAATTGTATCATGTTATAGCATCGTTGACAATGGTAGTACTCAGCATTCAATTCTTAGGTTAGGCCTAAAAAAGAAATTGTTTTCCCTTTAATGCTGAAAATCGTATAGGAGGGGCGGGTACAAAAAAGTTTTTTTTAGTATTGTTTTTTTCTCCTTTCACCAAAATTAACATATTAAATTGCAATGCTTGCAATTAAGCCTGTCTCACTATTTGTTATTCAAAGAGTATTCATCAGACTGAATAAAAATAACCCATAATCAATATTTTGTAATGAATTTTAGGCGAAGCCTTACATCAGACACCAAATTTCATGCACAAAATGGAGAAAAATAAATATCACTTACTTAAATTTGTGAACAAAAGATCTAAAAAAATACCTTTTTTAAAAACGTCACTCCTATTTTTCAGTGAGCTAGGGGCAGGCGCTGTAGGGCAAACAAACAATTTTTTTTTAGGCCTTATGTTTATTTTAAAAAGTTGAAAACCACTAGCAACTTGCTCCAAGCATTAAGCAATAAGTACCAATTCCATTTTATAATTTCATCTTCTACATTAATTGGCAACTATCTGTTGGATAGGAAGGAAATGAATTACGAAAAAAAAAGCATTGCATTTCCTATTATCCACATTTCATGTATTATTTCCATTTGTAATATATGGATGAACACTTCTTTGTTCCTTTAATGTCTTTGTTGTTGTCTCGCCCGTTGAATATTTTGAAAGGTTGTTGCTCTCATTGTCTTTGAGTCAAATCATTCGAATGATGCCAATTTGTAAAGAATAACTTACAGTAACATACTCATTTCACTTACTTCAAATAGCATTATTTCAAAAGTGTTGACATAACATATATCTCCTAGTGTTTTTTCTTTTAAGTGTACTAGCTATTTAACAATATGCAAATGATGAATGAATCACACGGGACCAATCAATGGGTTTAATATGTCGCTTCCGAAAGATGTGCGCTAGTAAGTTTGCATTAGCCCTCCAGCTGAAAGAAAATGATAACAGCAATAGAATTAAATCGGACTAAAAGATCTCTAATGCCTGTTAATGTACCCACTGTCGTGGAAAATAGAATATTAAAGAAAAAATTTAAAATATTCTTTGTAATACAAGCCATCTATCACCATGAAATCTGATAGAAAATCTATATTTTCCCTTACAAATTAAATTTGTAGAATAAATTTAAGGAAAAGTAATTTTATAAACTAGTCAGTTTTTGACAACTGATTGCAAACCACTCACAAACTGATTTTTGAGACATATTATCAACAATACTGTACCACTCTTCTTTAACCAACTTTTAGATATGATAATGTAACATAATTGCTATTACAAATATTCTGAAAAGATTTGTTGCAAATTCTTGGGGATTGTTTACTTTATTTATTTTGCGTCCATTCATAAACAATTTAATATAAAATAACAATGGTATAAAATAAAAAAGATTTCAAAAAAGAAAAGTAATTGTTTAGATGAATGGATGCATGGATGATCAATAAAATCAACAAATGTTAATTTATTTCCAATGCTGGATTTTGGCAGTTTTAGGGCTCATTTTTAGTAGTCATTTTCAAAATGTCTTGCGGGTCATCGTAAACCTTTCATTTAAAAGTCATGGAGTATGATTAAGCCACATTAAGCGGTAGTATAGGCTAGTTTTCATTACAATTCATTATACTTTACAGCGACCCCCATTAGAATAGCAAGGCTATACATAGCTTACTGACTATCTACCACAGGCAAATCATAGCAATTTTAAATAATACAACATGATATTGATGAACGTATGCTGATTAGAAATAACGACAGGATTATGATGAGAGATTTTTTTCGTCGAGTATACGAGAGAGGATTTGCTAGCATTCGGTAATTATAAATCTCTCTGACATGCTTCTGAACCTGTTTTATTGTAGGTGCTTTCTCGTTATATTCTATTTCTGCTACTACAGCATTCAACATAGAATTTAATGGTTGATTTCAATCAGGCTATATTCTTCAGAGAGTTGGTTGGTTAATGACGGACATTATGTCGCAATAAACTGAATTTATTTTCATGAATATTTTATGAATTGGATTCAGTTGTGGATGAATATTGTAACTTTTTTACAATAGAATGTTGATTATAGAATGAAATATCTCCGTAGAATATTTAAATAATATAAATAATGTATTGAATATTTATGAATAATTTGATAGTATGTTAGATTATTTAATTAAGTAGTGATAATGATTAAAAATTAATATTTGTGGTAAAATCAGTTTAAAACCTTTTAAAAATTAAATTAAAACTGTGAATTGCTCATTTTAAAAATACAAGTGGTATCAGCTTCCAGAGAGACTAAAACTGTCAATCATTACAGGGAAAAAATATTTCAAAAGATATGCAGTTGTCAGTGTTTAAATGTATAGTATTTTCTTGACGTTCATCTATCACAAAATATGCCTAAATTTAACACTAGGATCATATAGTTTAATGATTAATGATGGTTCATAGAGTAAATTCAAGAATAGTTTAAAATTAATTAAGCAATAAATCCAAATTTTTTTTTTTCCCTTTTTTTTTTTTTTCGGGTTCTTCAGTCAGAAACATCAGTTGAACTTTCATATTGCTTATGTCACAGGTTGTGTTTCGTAATGTTTTATATAAAACCTGAAATTTGCAGTGTAGGTGCGTTGAACAATCATTATGAATTATCCCCTGTAGCTTAATGCTATGATACTATTGCACAGCTGTGAGTGCTGTAGGTGTTGCAGATGATACTACTACCTTTCGCAGAATAACATTTTATTCACGTGTGGGTAATGGTGACATTTCAGTTATTCGTAGATCCACTGCGAGTGTTGTAGATCATGAGTAATTATATTCCGAATTTGCGAGAAGTATAATTGTCAAAGCTAGGCAATAATATATTTGTTTTTTGAATGTCAACCAACTTGATGTGAGTGGTTGCAAAAGCTGTATTGCCCTAATAGAGCGTTAGATATTTCCCACAGTCTTCAATCAGTTTTCAGATAATTTACTCAACGTGGGTGAAAACAGTCATGAAGTCTAACATACGGTAAAAGTACTGTTCTGTAGGTTTATATTTATTTATCGTGCTTTCTTATTTGGTAACATGAGACTAAATAGATTTGCAATAGTAAACATAAAACACAACATTTTACTAAGATTACCATACCATTATATTTATTTATTTATTTATTATTATAGTAGGATTATATGCTATCTTAGAAATTTGTGCATACTACTGTACTATCTTCTGAGCTGAGCAATTTACAATGATAGTGCTTGGTAGCATTTTATGCCAGTTGTGAATATAGTAAGCAGGCATTGCTCAATGCTATCAACTCACTTTAAAGTTCAGTAGCATTTAAAACATAGCATTACATGTAGATCAATCCCAACTTCTAAGTATACAGTACAATTAAAATGAAACTATCCAATATATTAAACTTTCATTAGGCCTTAGATTATATAAATAAAGATTAATTAAATATTATAATGTAATTTATAAGATTAATATGGTCATCTTTTTGAAAGAAAAAAAAGAAAAGCAGCCTCATTCTATATTTTAAAGTTTCAAGATTCAATTATTTAATGCTACTTGAGCCATCGAGTGTAATTATCCGCAATCACTAATTTACAATCACAATTAATAACAATCAATGTAACATTTAAAATAAGCAAGTTGAATTAAGTAAACTTAACCCCAAAACATAGAAAAGAAACAAAAAATATTTAGACTTCTTGTTTTTATGATAGCTAATATTGTTTTTTTCGAATATTCAAGATTATTTTTCAGTACATAGCATTATAGTTTCGAAATTTTTGAAATGATATTTTTAGACCTTTAAACATTAAAAAAGGTGATAACCATACCAGTAAAAAACTGAGACAGAATTAGCTGTTTTCCGTCATGAAATTTGTGATAAATATATTATCAAATTAGGCTTGTTGTTTTATTTTTATATAATGGTTGTTAATTAACAAATATAGAATACAGTTTATTTTTACAATGACATTTAGAAAAAATAGTCTTAGTTAATTAGAACTTTGGTTTTTGATGACGGTTCATCGTGTTAGTTTTTTTTGACAATTATTTTATCATCATAGTTGCCAAGTGTAATTGAACTACTGTATCATCATAATACCCGAGTTGGCGTTATTGTGAATTTCAGAAAAACAAGTCCTAAAGTATGAATCCAAATGTATGTGAAGTATCCATTTACATTGCATTCTGTAATAGTTTTTATGTGTAGGGAATAAAAAGTGTGCTGGTGACGTACATACAACAATGTACTAAAAATTCAAGATGCTGCACTTGTCCAACTTATTTGGGTCTACACTTAATATGATATTGTCAGTCATACAGAATGGGGTTCTCAACTCTGAAAGAGATGTGATTTGGGAATTGTCAAGGTGGTTAAAACTTTTGATGTACAGAAACCATGCAGATCTTTACATTAATTCTATTCCTTTGATCTACCTGTATTCTTCCTAATATGTACAGAATAAAGAGTACCATCTTTTACGTGAGACACTTTTTTAAGCTAATTGTCCCATGTACAGCATGAGCCATTGTTCAAGATAAGAGTATACTCTCAGTATTACCCTAAGCTAAAAAATGTGAAAAAAAAAATTTATAATTTTAATATAATACTAGTGTTATGATTTTACTACAAAGACAACAGAAACTTTCTTGCTCAACAACTTTGATTTAAATTTGATTTTTTTTTGTAAATTTCAGATAGAATATCCTGATGCTCAGCTTCTACATCCTGGTCAAAGGCAATCTTGTACGACGATGAATCTCGAGAAGCTCCTGGCCTTAGAACAAGATGAGGTGAAGGTAGCCCCAGCGCGGTCAAACCATGAAAGACAGTACCCACACAGTGACAGCGAGGTAAGACAACTAAAAATTACCTAAAGTCTTTAGAGAATATTTTGAAGTATTAATGAACCTGAAGTAGACTTTCACCAAACAAGGTGTAGAGCTGTAGTTTGGTGGTTGCTCACCTTTCCACACCAGGCTCCGGATTTTTCAAACTAGAAATCAGCTTAAATTTGTCTTAAGTCCATTTCTTTGCTTAAGTCAGATTTATCAATATTGCTTAGCTTCAAAATTGCTTAAAATGAAAAAGTCAATTGTACACATGCGCTATCTAATACTATTTTTATGGTAAGATTTTGCTAAAATGGTTTGATAAATCAGCCTATTTGTTTAGGGACATTTTAACTTTTTTGACTTTAGACGTTTGCTAAGCTGAGATTGATAAATCCCAGAAAAGGATATTGTGTTTAAATCCTATAAAACACTTAATGGACGTTTCCAAAAATAATGTACAGTTAAAATTTACAAAGAAAAGGTAAGATACAACATCTTAATAATTACGTTAGAAATTGGGATCAATGGTGTGTCAGTGAAGAAAATGGCGTTCGGTTGAACACTTTTGCAACGATAGCAACGGAGTAGTATCACGTGGTATCGTGACGTAACACTAGTACTTTATGACTATGATTCTTATTTACTAAAGCTGGACTAAGGATTGCCAAAGAAATATATTACTGAATTATAATTGGCAATCAGTTTCTCAACATATACATTAACACACATGATGCCCTACATAAACTAAGTCTCATTGAGGCTTAGTATTGGCCATGAAGTCTTAACAATTAACATCAAGAAGTTCATCGATAACTTTCTGTTCGTAAAAATAAATAGTTTCATTTTTCTATCCTCTCATTAACCTGATTTTCTGGAGTGTACAGTACAAAAGTAACAAGTTACCAATCAAAACGTGTTAATCAATACACACAAACGTATATAATTGATGATTAAATGTGTGTTCGATAACTAATATAATGCGAGCTTTTGTGTTTTTAGTACATTTATATGGTAATATATTAGATTTTAAAATGCCTGTTCCAGAAAGCCTATGCAGTCATTCAGGCGTAATGAACGGTAACCTATGTCTGCTGACAACAGAGAGCGCCACCTGGTGTGGTGACGACACGACTGGTACTCTACAGCATACTGTACATGTGCAAGCACACAGTAAATAAAAATAAATAATATTCATGTCAATGTCTTGCGAGTGTAGCATCTTACGCCTATGACGTGAACAAATACCGCTTCAACTTTAATTAGCAAACCGTTGGAAACTTTGAAAGTACCTGTTACCAAGGGACTGGGCCTCTGATAAGGTCCTAATAAATATAATTTTTTTATGCTTCCCTGCTTTATAAATATTGCCTTGTTTAATTTCAAGGCTCATTGGCTCCTAAGCTATAATTGAGAATTCCTGCATCTTGTGAACACAGTGGCCTCTCACCTTTTCTGTGTGGGGTTGAGAAGTGCTAAAAATGATACTGTGTACATATTATTTGGTCAAGTACATGTTTACGTTAACTATTGAAGTTGAACATTATAATTTGGTAAAGGTTAAACCAAGTACAATGGTGTCTTTATACTTTATATATATTTAAATTACAGGTATACTAATATTGAATTTGATGGATCTTTTCTGTGTAGATTTAAAATAACAATATTAATTGATTGACATAAACCATGTTTTTTTGTGTATGTTTGTTTATGTGGATTGCCCTTAACATGGGCATGCACAATTCAAACTACAAATTGGCATTTTGCAATAAAATTTAATTGATATTGGTCACATTATTAAGATTTGAACTTAAGACTTGTAACATACTGTGTGAGTGCCTAACCAAGCCACAGAGCAAGCCAATATTCATCATCAAATTCTTGCTAATCTACCAATAATTTCCTTGGCATGAAATATGAATATAGTATTTTCTATTTTACATAAATTATCACAAATGATTCAGTTATTGATTGATTGGTCTGCATATTTCTTTACTGTATTATAATATGATTGAGCATGATAATTTGTGTACGGTATGCAAATGTATATTTCTACTGTACTTTTAATATAGCCTGTCATGTACTGCAGGCCTATTTTGACTGATGTTCTTCAGTAGTTTGATTGCTTGAATTTGTTTTCCCACAGTCACTACCTTCAATAAGACTGGAGAGGGCAGGCTCCTCCGCCAGTGACAGTAGGGTATGATATCATCTGGACGATCCAGATGCTTATTTATTTGTTGCCGTTAAGTTTGTGTACATTTCTTTTGCATGAATCTATAAATAATGTATGATTTTAGCTCAGATTTCTTTTTGCATGTTGATTTTCATGTTTGTGATGGCTTTCTTCTGTGGGTTATATGGTTTGTAACATATATTTTCTACTTTTACAAATTCCAAGTGAAATATAAACATCAATTGAAAGAGTATTTTTGTGTATCTTATCTGGGATTCATAAGATACACAAAAATACTTTTTCAATTGATATGTATTTTATCTGAGATTTATAATGCTGTGTGCCAAAAATTATTATAGAAAGATGTTGGTTTTGTGGCCATATTTGTGAAATAGACAGACAATTTGAATTCCTTGATTATTGTTTAATGCATCATACACTAATTTCCACATACTGTAGCTATATTGAATTAAAATTATCATACTTTTAAAAATAGAATACATTCAAACAAATCCACTACTAGGCCTACAAAATATAAGCATTCAGTATCTAATTTTAAACTAAATATTTCTAAAATTGTAATGCCTTGGTTTTAGTTTACTGCATTGTAATTTCCAAATAGGTATATTGAACAATTTTTGTAAGATAAAATTTATCACACTTAACAATAGAATACATTCAAAATAAATCCACTACTACAAAAAATAAGCATACAGTAAATAATTTTTAATTAAATGCTTAAAAAAGAAAACCAAAAAACATGATTACTTTTAATCTTAACCATATCTTAATCTTACAAACATTCAAGCTAAACAAGCAAGATATGAAGCGGAATATTGCTGATAATGGTATCAATTCTGCATGAACGATAAGTGAATTTAAGGTGACTCATACACTGTTCACTCTGAATAAATGATCGAGTCACAATGGTGGCTAAGATTTCCTTTAGTCGATCACTGCAGAGTTCATAGGCGTCAAGAACTATCAGAGGTGTTAGTGATGGTAGGTACTGAGTACTCTACAATTGTTAGAAACTAAAGCTTAACTGTTTAATCTACATTGGATGTGGTCATAGGGTACAGTATATGGGTTCCAAGATATATTTAATTACAAGAAAATATTGCTGATCTTTTCGGTGACTGATTATAATAAAATACTGCTGATCTGTTCCGTGAATGATTGTTAGAACACATTGCTGATTTGTTCTGTGAATGATCTTCTGAAATATGTAAATGGAAGTATCCATGCGCCTAAAGGTAGGAGTTGTATATTCCGTCAATTGGCTCCGTAATTGATGTCATTTTCAGGTAGTTATGCAATGTTCTTAATCCCCGGAATTACTTATTATTGATATAACATTTAGAATATAAAGTGGTTGTGTATACAGTAATCGTCCAGACTGATTTAAGTATTTCCTATGTATTCTATTTTTTCAATCTTTTACTTCCTAAATTATTAGGATGATTAATAAAACATTTCCTATTTAGTATTACAGCCTTCTGAGACATTATTTTGTAGAATACTACTAAGATTGTTGCATAAACATTAAGGTTCATGTGGAAAATGTAGAGTAGCATTCAACTAAATAAATGTTGTTTTTAAATATTTTTTTGTGAAAGGCTTTTAGATAAATTTGCCAGTATTAGCATGGAGAAAATAAAATAGAAATAAAATAAATAAAATATTTTATTTTCTCCATGGTATTAGCATACATAATCGGTAGAATTTCATCACTATCTGTGTATTTGCTAGTGACATTATTATGGTCGTCGTCGTCGTCATAATCATCATCATCATCATCATATTATTATCCTTCCCATCATCATGACCATCACATATCATTAATCATCTTCATCATCATCATCTTCAACACCATCAATTCATCATCATCATTAGCATCATTTCAATCAACATCATCCATATCATCAACACCGCTATTGTCATCATCTTCATGGCAATTAGTCATTATCCATGATTACTATCCTTGCTATCATCGAAGACTATCCTCATCATGACCAGCATTAAGATTGTCCATACAGTATCTTTCTTTGTCCACCGTTTCCCTTGCCTATCCTTGTCTTATTCTTCTTCAAAACCATCATCAACTTGATTCCCCCAATCATCAGTACACCTTGTGGGTGCAACATACTACAGCATATTCTGTTAGTTATAATGCTATAATTCATATTTATTACATAGTGAGTACATCTTCAAATTAATTTAGAAACCTTTATTAAAGTCTACTTTGGAGTATGTTTTATACAAGTTTTCTTTCCTCTTTTCCTTGGATTGTCAGTAATTAATAACAAGCATGCCAACAATGCTGTTAGATTCCCGTATCTTAGTTTGTTCGTATATTTTAGTTGCCGTATGTTGAATTGCTTTTGTGGAAAGGTTTTCTTCAGTGTGTATTCTTCCGTAATTGAAAAATGTAAGTTCTATTCTGTATTTTTGTTGAGTTTATTGTTGATGTAATACTTTAATACTGGTTGCCTTTCTTACAGTTTTCTTCAGTAGATTTAATCAAACTACATTAACATACAGTATTTTTTAACCAAATTAAAAAAAATTATTTGACTTTACCTTATTCATTATTTTACTTGCTTTATTCATAAACGAAAGCATGCCATTTGTTTTGTTGTTTTTAATTGTTTAATTGAATACATTGTACAAGTATAATGTTAAAACAGCCTTTCATATTTTTGTTCATACCAATTGAACAATTCAATGCTTTAGCTGAATTTTAAGTTTATGATTTTATGCTCAGCTTTAGGGTACCCTCTTATATAGTATTTTGAGTCATACTGGTATACACATGGTTTTTGTATTTCATTTACAAGGAATTACAACTCTACTCCCTGTAGCTGGAATCCTTGAAGTGATAATTAAGTATTTCAACATGTAGAATTTTGGGTAATTTCCCATCGATTGTATTTAAGCGAACTACTGGGTTTTTTCAAAATGATTTCCTGCTTCATGCAACAAGATGTTCTTTCATAAATACTTTTGTGTAGAGATACAATCAAATGACAGTTGAATGGTTGAGACTTAAAGCTAACTTTAAGTGATTGAAGTTTTAAATTGTAAGTAGAATAATGTACACATACATCTAGTCCTATTTTAGTTTTTAGAATAATATCTTATTTTTTTATTTTTTAGCCTATTATGTTTCATAATTCAACATCAAACAGATTACAACACTAGACTGTGGTTGATATGCTTGTCTTCTAAATTGAGAATCATAGGTTGAAATCCTGTCATGACAACAGGATTCTTGCTACAACCATGGTACAACTAAAAGTAAAAGCAAAGCACTTTCTTTAGGGCATAATAGGAGACTTGTTCATAGTATATTATTTAATCCTGTAAGTGACGAGGTACTTAACTGTTTGATGAGAATGAAAGAAATAATAAAATTGTTTTAGAGGAAGTCAGTGATAATAAACATACTTGTACATATTTTCCAGATCATAATTGCTCTAGTTGTCTTTACACATTAAGTAGGATTCCAGTGAGAAGGTTTTCTATTGTGCATTATTATATTATTAAGTTGCTTGTTGTTACATTGCATGTTTCCTTTTTGTTGCTCTTGACAAAAGTGTTCTTTGCCACTTGAGTAAATGTTTGTCTATCTAAATGATGCAGCATTAATTTGTTATTTAGATATCTATATTGGCATGAACATTAAACGTTCCAATGTACTTACTCATTTTGTTGTTCTTTCTATATTTCTAGACAGCTATTCTAATTATTAATTTATAATAAGTATTTTTGTCTATGTTTAACAAATCTTAAGAACATTACCTCACATTTTTGTTTTCTTCTACATATTTTATTATTATATCTCCTTTTGTTGTTGGAGCCAGCATTTAGTGATTATTAATCACCGTAAACACTTAATTGTTTTTCATCTACAGAAAATGAAAGACCGTGTAGAAGGACTTCGCCGTGGTCCAATGCATGCTCCGAGTACACCCACAAGTATTAGCAGTCGCAGTTCTGTTAGAAGTAGTATCTCAAGCACAGGGAGTTATTCGGATTTATGTGCAAATAATGATAACTTTGATTTAGAATATAATGGCGGAGGTATGGACTCGGACGATGAGGAAACAAGTGAATCTTCTGGGGTAAGGCACTCTATATTCTTAACCTAATATTCCTCTTCATACAATTCATCCATTTCTGAGACCACCTAATTTGACACCACTTTGTCAAAAGTACTAAATACAATCATCATTCTTTTAACGCAAAGCTACTGTAATCCTCTAATTGCAAACCGAACCCCGAGACCAACCCACATTCTTAGATCTTGGATTTGAACGGTAGATACCATATACTATATCTGACGATTCGGGAAAATGAAAAATAAAAAAAATAAAAAAATGAATAAAATGAAATAAAATCAGAGAAAATTCCTGTTCACATAGTTTTTCAGTTTTACATTAAGTTATGTGAAAGTATCGTAGGTAGTTCATAATAAGACTATTTTTTTAATTTTCACTTAAGTTCAGTTCAATAACACATTATTTTTATTATATTTTTTTTATTATTCACATGTGTTTAATATAATTTGTTGATGCAAAACTTGGTGATACTATTTATTTATTTTATTTTTTAAAATTATGGATTAATTTGTTTTTGCAGTCCATCCTTGTCAGAGATATTGTTAGAGATTGTCTCGAGAAGGAGCCGAGTGAAAGAACAGAAGATGAAATAGGTAAATGAACATTTATTTTGTTCTAATTATTTCGGTTAATATCACATTGCTATATTCTAAGTCAAGGAAACATATTTGAGGTCAGTTATCACCTTGTTCATAAATATAAATCAAATAATTCAGATTATAATTCTCAAATTGCTAACAAAAACAGTGCAATAGTACTATACTTGGTTTTGAACCTAATTTGATTATTTTCTGTGACAATTTTACGGGTTGGTTTTTATGATAGTTCATCATTTATTTTTTTCTGTTTTTCCATCACTGTCTGTGTTCAAGCACTTTGTTAAAGCAATTTTGTAATTGTGTTACCACTGACATTGCTCTAGGAATCGAACCATCATCCCACTAGTTCTGTTATGATGCTCTGCACAATAACATAACATTAATTTTTCAAGGCTAGTAGAATATTAATTGCCTTAATAGCTGAAGCACTGTAGAAGCAGCGAATGGTATTGAAAGCCCTGCCATTATTGCCTTGGGAAGTTACTACAAAATTGCCAACATAGGAAACTCACCTATTTATCCATTATACTACGTGTATGTGTCAGAAATTTTAATATTTAGATTTTTCAATTTCATTCTCATTCAACAGTGAATAACTTGTTAATTCAAGGTGACAGATTTTTTTTTTTTTTTTTTTTTTCAAAATATGATATGAAAAAAAAAAGCCAAATCACCAATTTGAGGCCTAGGAAGGGGATTTTTTTGTGTTATGAGGAGGAAAGTCTGTCAAGTATCAGTTCAAAATTGTAGTGTTTAAGTCAAGCAGCATAAGTAATGACTCAAGCTTATGTCTTTCCTATTAACTGAAATATGTTATTAAAAATTAACAAAACATTATTCAAAGATCAATTATTAAGATATAACATATTAACATAATGATGTTCTGACGTAGCTCAAACTGCCTATGTCACATTAGTACTAATATAGCCCTGTACCGTATAATGGTAATGGTTGTAGACTTATGGCACATAAAACGTGGTCTTTATGCGCTATATACAGAAAACAAAATCTATTCTAGTCAACTAAGCTAACCATGCTAAAATATAAATATTATATTTATATAAATATTTTCAATCAAATGTAAAGTATTTGGAAAAGACCAACATTTAAACAACTTCAATGTTTCTGATTTTAAAAAAAATCATACTTTTATATAATTTTCCTTTTGATTTTCCAACCAACTTCATATTTATTACAAATTTGCAATTTTTGTAATTTAATATTTAGGTTAGGTTCACTGTTTACAGTATGTTATTTATTATACCTGTAGTCATGTTATTTTCATTTTACAATTTAGCTGAAAGGCAAGGATGACTGAAAAAAAAGATCAAATTTGAACTTGAACTTTATTCTGGGCCGCTTGCTAGTAGCTACATTACAAAGAATTACTTAAAATACTAAACTTAATGTCATAGTGCTATGTTATTGTTTCTCTTTATAGCAATTTAATGGTGGCTAATGGAACTTTTTGAAAATTGCAAGCAGTTCACTTTACTAGAAGAAGCATTCTTTCAGCGTTTTAAAAGTATTTCCATCATCGTAATTACTTTTATGGCTTTATGGTTTATGCAACCATTATGAAACTAATGTTATGATTCCTAAAATGGTGATAGGAAAATATTTTTATTAGTGTAATTAGTAGCTATTTGAAATTGAAATTTTTTTTCAGAATGCTCAAATTATTGATATTAACAGCTTTTACTTGGTGTGTTACTTTGTTTCTCTTTATATTGTCTCATAATTAAAATTTATAATGCACCAAATTTAAATTTGTTTGCAATTACACAAAAGTATACCAACTGATTAAGTTAGTAGTAAGATAACAATATTAAATGCAATATACAAGTTCAAATGTGAGAAAAAATCATGTGAAATTTAAAACAAAATTTAAATTCACTTCCAGTACTTCAGGCACTTAAAATGTCAGAGGTCAATCTAGGTCAATTCAAACTCTGTTGCGATGCGAATATCCGTTTTTTTCCGATATATAATTTATTCAGATCCAGAGTTATAGTTTTTAACAGACAGTTTAAGGTAATTTAAAGGGGGAAGAGGTCAAGAAACAAATGGTACCTTGGCTAAAGGTTTCCCTTCTAAATGTTGGCATAGTAAAAATACATTTTTTTTTGCTGTGTATAGACTTTGGGTTGGGCCTTATAGGTGGACATGGATATAATTGAACATAATTGCATCCTGATTAATTTAATTACTCAGTTCATTTTTGTAACAAGAAATATTAAAATACACAAGAAACAACACTAATATGGAACAAATGCATTATTAACAATTAATGACTTACAAACCCACATTTAAAAAAAAAATCATATTTCTGGATCCTCTTTACATAGAAAAATCACTAAAAAATTTCACTTCTTAGCCACTAATAACTAATTCGAAAAAGTGGGTTTCTTCTTAAATTCTAAATTGAGTGTTAAGCAATTATGCTTTAAATTCCAATATTCTTTTATATTATTCTGTCCTTCATACATCATATATTACTACATACACAGGGATAATCTTTTTGATCCAGTAGGAAAATGATATAAATTTAAAAATGAAATAATTTATAGTTACAGTTGCAAAGTGAGTACTAAAATAGTAATAACACAAGCCCTTTAATTAGGTTGTTTACAGCATTACCTGCTGGGAATAGAAACTGGTCTGGCTAAGCCATGATTAGATATGCTCCAAAATAATGTTTGTTAATTACAGTATCACAAGCATTTATTGCAATGAATGCAGGAATAAGAGGGCAGAATTTTTGTCTATAAAACAAGCGCATTTTAGACATTTAAAACACCTTTTCCAAGCTCTTTCAAAAAATATTATTAGCTGTCAATGTCCTCTTGGTATTACCAAACTTATAGTGTTTTTTATTTAACAGTTACTGTAAGTTACTTAAACTTTTTTTTCAAATAAACCCTTGTGTTTAGTTAAGCTCTACAACTGTTATAGCATATGGAACAATGATACAATTTTCATATTTCTTTAATTAATACAGAAATTCAAAAGAAATATGATATTTACAATATAGTGTATTTTCATATTGATGGAAAGACAGTAATGTGATTGTCCCTAAGGAATAATATTGCAATCCATAAACACAGCGTTCTTGACAGAGTGAATTAATTTTCTTGCATCCATCAATATTTAAAATAGGCATTACTAGAATAGGTTGTGTATACTCTTAAATTATCTACCAACTTGAAAGCTTGCCAAATTGTAGAGATGTTGAAACTAAGTATTTCCTATATTTTATAGTAAATATACATCTTATATTTTACATAAGCATGGTACCAGAAAGTGTACATAAATTGTATGGTTTGTGAAAAAAAAATCGAGGTCGGGTGAAATTTGTACTTGTATCCTTTGATCTTATCCGACAACACAGAAAGCAAACGACACATTCACAGCGTTCCATTTAGGAGATTTGAAAGAACATGTTTATATCAACTAGGGCGTTGGTTTTTTTTTTTTTTTTTTTTTTTTATAGATTTTACTGAACATTTTAAAAAAATTGTATAAAGATGGAAATAATGTGCAGGTCACAAATGATATGTACAAGAAAATAGCTTATAATTAATTAAAAAAAAAAAAAATGAAGGTGTTTTTTGAAATTCTCATATTAGGCATTTAAAATACTGAAATTGCCAAATAATGAAGTGAAGTTGCCATTAAAATAAATTAGTTTATATGAATGGAGAATTCATAAAATTTAATTTGTTCCTAAAAGCAAGTTTCCACTGTACAGTAGGCCTACTGTAAATCTGAGTCCATTACCCACAATTCTTCCTATGATAACTGGAGTTAACTAAGCAAAATGTTGCGAAACCTATTTTTTTTTAAAGTTTACATATTATCAGATCTTATTTCGATGTGATTATCAGATCTTATTTGATCGAAATTATTCAGCTTGATATAACACACCAAAAGATCCTTAATGTTTAACCCACGCTACAATCTTCCAATATATGAATGAATTTAATTTACTTTATTGTACATGTTTATAATCTTATTGTTTGAAGGTAGTGAACTCTCCCATCTTTATTTCTGTTATCTGATCGCCGGTTACAAATTGCGAAAATTCAGTTTATATTAGAATATTTTAATTAGAAGAAAGATACCGATGGTTGGTGGAATTTTCTTTGAGAATGCGAAATGTAATTTCATGCGAATTTTATGTCACAAAGCATGAAAATGTGATGCTTCGTTATGGTTTTTGCAAACTTGTTTTTTTTTTATCTGTGGAAGATTTTTACGAGGGAAACTAGGATGGATATTGAAGATAAAACAGTGTCATTTTTTCAAAAGGTTAATCTGTAAAATTGTGTGAACACTTTTTTTATTGCTTATTTTTACCAATGTTCACACATGGATATGAGGAATGTTTTACTAAAACCAAAGTTAAGATAGTAAAAAATTAGGGGATGCTCTTTCATGACCTTTATACTACTAGTACTAGATTCATGATGCTGTTCTCTGCCAAAAGATTATTCTGCTTGATATAACACACCAAAAGATCCTTAATGTTTAACCCACGCTACAATCTTCCAATATATGAATGAATTTTTACTTTATTATACATGTTTATAATCTTATTGTTTGAAGGTAGTGAACTGTCCCTTCTTTATTTCTGTTATCTGATCGCCGGTTACAAATTGCGAAAATTCAGTTTATATTAGAATATTTTAATTAGAAGAAAGATACCGATGGTTGGTGGAATTTTCTTTGAGAATGCGAAATGTAATTTCATGCGAATTTTATGTCACAAAGCATGAAAATGTGATGCTTCGTTATGGTTTTTGCAAACTTGTTTTTTTTTTATCTGTGGAAGATTTTTACGAGGGAAACTAGGATGGATATTGAAGATAAAACAGTGTCATTTTTTCAAAAGGTTAATCTGTAAAATTGTGTGAACACTTTTTTTATTGCTTATTTTTACCAATGTTCACACATGGATATGAGGAATGTTTTACTAAAACCAAAGTTAAGAT